CGCTTGCCCCGGCCCCCCCCCGCCAGCCAGTCCCTGCTCCGACCCCCGGAGGCAGGCCAAGCCCGTGCGGATACGGGGCTCCCAAAGTTAGGAAACAGAGGGGTGAGAGTGTGAACCCCGGCAAGGGACGGTGGCACTGCTCCCTGTCCTCCGTACAACGGCCCCGCCGCATCACCGCAGCCTCGGGAACGCCCTGGCACCAGCAACTTCCCACGCTGCCCAGCCCTCGCCAAACGCCCCCTTTCCTCCGTCCCTCCCTCTGAGCCCGGCTGCCCTGCCGCCCACCCCCTTCCCCCGGCCGGCAGGGAGCGGTTAGCAGCACAGGGACGTGCCCTTTACTACCAACCTTGGCTATCGGACTGAATGGCTGCAGGCCTGCGGCAAAGCCCCTTTTTATTGTGTCCGTCAAGGTCAGAGTGGGAAGAGCTATGTCAGAAATTCCCATGTGTCACGTCCATGCGGCTCCATTGGTGCTGCTCCGCTCCGGCCCGGAGCGACACAAAAGGCAAACCTCCCTTTTATCTCCCTGGGAATGCGCCCGGTTATTTTTACTCCTGTATTGTCAGGCGAGTACAAAGGCAGAGGGCGGCTGCAGGCTTGGGAGCCAGCACAGCTCTCCAGGCCAGCCTGTGCCTGGCCGATCTGCAGGACTGACTCCTCTGCCCGCCGTCACCTGGCCGGGTCTGTGTCTCGCCACGCTGCCCGGGAGGGCACAGGGCTCCCCCGCCAACCTCAGCGCCACCCTCACCCGGAGCCGCTGCCTCAGCTTCCCACTGGGCCCCGCTCCCACCGATTGCGGGGGGCAGCGACGTGGGGCGGAGGGCAGGGCTGGGCCCCCGCGGGCCGCTCTCCTCTGCCTCCCTGGGTCGCACAGGGAGGGCCAGTGGCTCTCTTGCCCTTGAGGTGTCCAGCAATCTCCTAGCGCAGCCTGGCGGGGGCTAGCTGAGTGACCGCACCAGCGCCCTGCACCCAGATGTGAGCTGCCAGTGGCCATGGCTCCAGTGGGTTGGCTCGGCCCCTTAGAGATACACTGGCCAGCTGTGGAATCAGCTGGGTGGCGGTAGCCAAACGCCCCAGACCGAGGAGGGCTCTGGGGGCTCCTGTGTGGCCAGAGCTCACGGATCAATGAGGCTGCCCGGCCCACAGCAGGAACACGCCAGGGCTTGACACTGGCCACGCAAGAGGGTAGCTGCATAAATGAGGCCGCTCAGTCACTGCACTGGTCCCCAGTATCACTGGAACTAATGGGGATGGTTAAGGCCAGTCCCCCAGGCCTGGGATCCCCTGAGCTGTGGGGCGCCGGGATCCTTAGCCTAGGCCCCCACGGCTGCCTTCCCTGGCGCCCCAGGGCAGGGATACACACCGTTCCAGTTGCCATTGCGCTCCCTCGAATTGGAGCAATTCTACCAGCTGTGCCGGGTTCACCCTCGGGAAACGTGGGCGCCCAGCCCTGGGAGCTACAGCAGCTGGGAAGCTAGATGGGGGTCACCAGGGCGCCCTTGTAGCCAAGCAGGCTAACGGCATGTTGGGCTGCGTTAGGAGGCGTGTTGCCAGCAGACCCAGGGCAGGGGTTCTTCCCCTCTGTTCAGCACTGCGAGGCCACATCTGGAGCGTTGCGTCTGCTCCTGGGCCCCCACTCCAGAAGGGATGTGGACACATTGGAGAGGGTCCAGTGGGGGGCAACTGAAATGATTCGGGGGCTGGAGCACATGACCTGTGAGGAGAGGCTGAGGGATCTGGGGGTATGTCTACACTACCCTCCTAGTTCGAACTAGGAGGGTAGTGTAGACATACCCAGAGTGCTAATGAAGCCCGGGATTTGAATTTCCCGGGCTTCATTAGCATAAGCGGGG